AAGAAGTTTGGTGCTTCAAGTTATGCGCTCATTCCCAAACAGTTTAGGAAGAAGTTTGAAAAGAAATCCGTCAATCAATTTCTTGTGGGATATGAAGGAAATGGTCCCAACTACAGATTATACGATAAGAATACCAGAAAAATCACTGTTGCAAGAAATGTTACGTTTGATGAGAACATCAATGAAGCAGCTGCACAAGTAGGTCCAAGTTTTGCTGATTTTGAGACCGAAATAAATGCAGTCGATTTTGTTGAACACGAAGACCAAGAGAGAATCACAAACTCAAGTGATATCGAAATAGAAGAGCCTTCTAATGAAGTATATTCAATAGGTGCTCAGTCTGTTCAAGAAGTAGGTCGACAACTAAGAAAAAGGGAACATCTACGACCTCCAGCTCGACTAATCGATGAAGTTGCCTGTTCTGCAGTGATACTCGAGCCGAATACTTATAAAGAAGCTACCGAATGTGAGGAGAAACAATATTGGAAAGTAGCTATGGAGGAAGAAATTCGTTCTCTCATGAAAAATGATACATGGACTCTTGAGAAATTACCTGAAAATAGGAAAGTAGTGGGATGCAAGTGGGTCTACAAAATTAAGTGTAAACCCAATGGTGATCCAGACCGCTACAAAGCAAGGCTTGTTGCAAAAGGCTATTCTCAAGTTCCAGGTCTAGATTTCACGGAAACTTTTTCACCCGTAGTAAGATATGATTCAGTTCGACTGTTGCTAGGTTTAGCTTGTGTCAGAAATCTTGAAATGTGTCAGTTTGATGTGAAAACTGCATTTTTATATGGCGAGCTGCAAGAAGATATATTTATGAATCAACCAGAAGGATTCTGCAGTGATGATCCTACCTTAGTGTGCAAACTGAGGAAGAGTATCTACGGATTGAAGCAGTCACCTCGTTGTTGGAATCAAAAGTTTGTAGATTTTCTCGTCACATTCTCATTCAAGCAGCTGGAATCAGACAAATGTGTGTTTAATGGGAAATTCGATGACTACGAGATCTTCTTGACTCTTTTCGTGGATGATGGACTCCTGATATGCGAATCGAAAGAGGTGATAAAACGAATCTTGATCGAACTTCAGAAACAATTTGAAATCACTATATGTGATCCGGAATATTACGTTGGAATTGAAATCAAACGGGATCGAAACCAGAGAAAGATGTTCCTTGGCCAGAAAAGGTACATAACAAAAATTTTGGATAAATTCAATATGTCTGATTGTCATTCAAATGCTATACCAGCAGATCCCAACATAACACTCCGATCGAAACCAGTTTCTGATGAGAATATTGAAGAAATGAGAAAAATTCCATACAGGGAGGCAGTAGGAAGTTTAATGTTTGTGGCAGTAGTTTCCCGACCTGATATCATGTTTGCTGTTAGCCAGGTCAGTAGATTCCTCCATAATCCCGATAAGGAACACTGGATAGCTGTGAAAAGAATTTTCAGATACCTGAAGGGTACTTCTGATTTTGGAATACTTTATGAAGGTGAAGAAATCAATTTCAAAGCCTATTCAGATGCGGATTTCGCTGGTGACCTAGATACGAGAAGATCCACCAGTGGCTATGTAACTATGGTAGCCGGAGCACCAGTCAGCTGGTGTTCACAACGTCAAAAATGCGTTTCCAAGTCAACGACTGAATCTGAATATGTATCAGCGTCAGAAACCTCTCAAGAAATAATTTGGTTACGTCGATTTCTTCAAGAAATTGGGGTTCATCTGACCGAGCCTACTTCCTTGTACGTAGATAACCAGAGTGCAATCCGACTCATGAAAAATGCTGAGCATCATAAGCGTACAAAACATATTGATGTCAAGTACCATTTCATCCGAGAATGTATGGCAAATGGCTCCATTACTGTTTCCTACGTTGAATCGAAGTTGCAGTTGGCGGACATTTTTACAAAACCATTACCAAGAAGACAGTTCGAGAATAATAGAACATCCCTCTCTGTGTTTCCATTATCTTCAGAAGAGTAAACAAAGAGGGAGAGTATTGAAATATCATACTGTATTAGAATTTCATTTACTTTGTTTAAATATTGTCTTCTCATCAAGATACCTATTACATGGGTAACTATGGATTGTTTTTCGATATAAAAAAAAAATAAAAGTGTTGCTTTTCGGTGTTGGTCTTTCGAAATCAATTCTCTCTCCACTGCTAATTCCTCAAAAATAATATATTCCGGAAATTTCTGAAATATTTATACGAATTAATTTGGAAAAACCCGACTGGTTTCACAGTCTTGTTCAAGGTGGTGTTTCCTTTGAAACACTGAAATTACATGGAAATTGGAAGAGTAGTACGGTAGTAGTACGGTAGTAGTACGGTAGTAGTACGGTAGCAGAGCTATATTGGGAAAGTTTCTCCTCGAAGAAAAAAAATTCTACAATGAAAGCACATTCCGTTTCCGAAAATAAAAATGTTGACGTTCCCAACGAAATTGTATAGGGTATTGAGGAGTTCATCATCGATCAACTCACAGAACTTTAAACTTGTTACTAATTCTTCAGGAACTTTTGAAAGTTGTAATTTCGATTTGAGAAAAAATAATGAGTCCCTATTTTGTTAATAGCAACCGTTGCCAAGGTCTTATGAAGCAGTAATAAACAAGGGTAAAATGAATCATATAGTGATTGCTATATTTTTTTCGACGTTGCGTCAAATGCAACATGAATTGAAAATTGTAGGCTTCCCACTCATGCAGATAATTGATTCCTTGAACCATCATGACTTTATTTGTTCACTCTCAATGAAATTACCATGGAATACGTAGAATAAAATTGTTGATATCCAATTTTCGGATCCTAATGTTCAATTTTCGCTGTAATAAAGTGAAAATTATTATTCTACTGAAGGCAAATATAACATTGAAATAATCATTATGATTTGAAACGAGTGTTCTCTTTTTTATATTATTGGTGATTTTACTCGATAAAATCTCATATCAATCACGACATAACATCATAAAATCATGTTCCTCTTGAAAGATTCAAGTATCCACATATATCCTCTCTTACATTATTTCACGAGTAATAAAATTCAAGTGTTATTGTTTTTATAGCAGTTGTTTTCTTCCTGATCCAATATTCCTAATGGAACTTTATTTACCGTCTGAACATTAATGGAGATTTTCAGGAATTTTATCGATTTTATATTCCAGAGGAAACTCTTGAGTTCACATAAAAATTTTTTTGTTGGTCAAGGTAATTGAGGTTAAGCAAAAATCCAGAAGATTCTAATCATCATAATTACCTGATCGTGAAAAAAACCAAGGTGTTAATTAATTGAGTGCCGATATTTCAAGGTGTGAATCTTCGAGTGATTTCAAGGAGAAAAATTTTAACAAAATATGAAAACCTCTCAGTTTTTGAGCTACAGGGTGCTAAAATCAGAGGCGTACAGTTAATTTTTGAATCAAAACATTCAACATCAGGGCAACGTGACATCACTGGTGAAAGTAAAATAATGATCTTCCCAAAACAAAATGTATGTTCGTATGTTCACTCATAGTGGCTGCCTACTAAATTCCAACAAAATACCAAAAACAAACTCAATGAACTGAAGAAAACGAAGTTGGTTTGTATTATTTTACGCGGAAACGGTACGTCTTATGGAAGTCGTCTAGAAAATAAATGTGCTCCAAAATAAATGGATTTCCGAAAATATCTTTGGTTTTCAGAAAAAATCAGTGTCGTTCCATTTTTTTCTTCAAAAATCGTCAGTTCAAACCCCGAACGGACGTCATTGATGAAAATTTTTCAAAAATCTTTCACGTCAAAAAATGCTCCCATGAAAACACTAGGATATGCTCCATTGCTTAGGACCATAAGTGTTACGAATGCAAAATGACGAATGCAATTTTTTTCACATTGGTAGCTACAACATAGAACTTGAGGTTTAACGTTGTGCTACGATTGTTACTTCTTTTGGCACCAGTTTTTTGTAAAAAAAACACTCAACTCCAATGTGCGACCATCTTCTACATACTGATCCTACATCTCATAGTATATCATGCAGGATTGCTGTACTTGTAAGGACATAAACAAAGGGCATTTGAAGGTACGACATTCGTGCCTAACGGACGGATACTAGGGAAATCATAATATGTTAGGGCCACGAGGCTATGTAGAGAAGAATAAAAAATATAAACTTCTTCCACATCTGACCTCTGGAAAAGCCGATCTCACTGTGCCCAACATGAGCATGTTAGGAGTAACCATACCTTTGGAGACATCCATTTCGATGCTTGGTATTACTATCAGCATTAACCTTTCTTGGGAAAATCACGTGAGATCAATTGCTAAAAGTGCATTCCATAAACTTGGTTGTCTGTTTCGAGTCAGGAGCTATTTCACTTCTAGTCAGCTGCTAATGATCTATAAGGCACAGATCTGATCTGTTCTGGAAATCTGCTCTCATATTTGGAGTGCAGCACCCAAACATACCCTGAAACTGTTGGATTCTGTCCAAAAAAAGACAATCCGTCTCGTGGGTGATACCTCGCTCACGAACTCACTCACTTATCTGGAACACCGTAAAAAAGTTGTCGATCTGGCTCTATTTTATAGATATTTTCATGGACATGGAATATCAACAATAATTGTTCCTCCCCTGGCAGTCTCCGGGAGATTAACCCGTCGAGTTGAGGCTTCGCACCCTTTCGTGGTCACTTTGGAGACCTGCAGAACATCTCTTTCCAAAGACTCGTTCATCCAACGAACAGCTAGGCTCTGGAACACATGGTCAAGGCATATAACCTCATTTTCCTTTGGTTTTCACGATGTTCTCTGAACATTACGGGATTTCCCGTTTCGTGGGAACCAGAACATAAAAAATTTCTTGTTGAAGTACGATAGTTCGAATCTTGATCCAAGATAATAAGAAAATGGCCCAGAGGGGCCCAAACTTTTCATCATAACCCGGTGGTCAACGTGTTATTAATGAACGTGTTGTGTCTATTTGTAGTATGAGGGTCTCTCACCTGACAGAGGGGCAAGAAGATCTCCCCGATGGAATCGTCTCGCGAGAACCTATCGTAGTCGAAGACGTGCAGATGCAGCACTCTCGATTGCAGCTTCTGTATGGGGAAGCCCTCGAAGTAGAAGGTCTCGTTCCAGCGCGGGTTTAGCGTGCGCCGCTTGATCTTCGTCTCTAATCGGTGTTTCTTGTCTGGTAACAGGGTGACTCGCACATACGGATCGGAGGTGCCGGACAGGTCTTTGGCCGGCAGGTCCTTACCCTAGAAACACAACAAAACATACAAAATACTGATGAAACAGAACAGAATGAAACCACTTTCAACAGAAACATGATACAATGTTTTTTCTGGGACGGGAAAAAAGTCTCGGTCAACAAGTTATAAAATGTCACTTTCCATTAATAATTTTTTTCCGGATATATCACATATATGACAGTGCTTTTCTTTGATTCCCCTCCCTTTTACTTTTCGAACGGGTCGACTGAAAAAATTTAAACTTGGGGTAATGAAGTTGATGCATGGATACTATATTTTGGAGTGAGATTGACAGATGGAAATTTCAAGATGACGACTGGGCGCCATATGGGGAAAAATTGAATCTTGTGATACATCTTTTTGAAGCTCTCGACGAATACGTCACAACCCTAGAATATGAAGTCAATATCTGCACCTACTACAAAATGGCAAAATATTTGATGATGGTCTGAAATCATCGATTTCACTTCATAATTTGAGGAAATAAGCTGCGTTAGGTTCGGAAGATGCTAGAAATGGTTGTCTTGAACTTTTTAACATAAGAACAGCCTATCCAGTCTAGTCAGTCACGCTCGAAGACAGTTACGCGTCGATATTTTTACAAATATTCATCATTCATTGTCGTATATCTGATATTTTTGAAGCAGGTACACTTTCTTACACATTTTGCTACAAATAGTCCCATGAAAAATCGTCATGAGGTTTCAAATCTGGCGAGCAGGCTGGCCATTCCGTAGGACCAACGACCAGAAAAACTATTATTCAAATGTTTCTAACTTGTCGCTCCATCTTGTTCGAATAAAATATCCATATTGATGATGTGTTTGTATTCAGGCAACTATCAAATGTTCCGCTATTTTGTAGTAGGTGAAGATATTGATTGTATATTTTAGTTTTGTGAATTACTCGTCAGGAGCATCAAAAATATATGTCACAAGACCCCCCTTTCCGTTTGATTTTTCCCGCCGGATGGCGCCCAGTAGCCATCTTGAAATTTTCATCTGCCAATTTCATTCCAAACTATAGTATTCATGCATCAATTTTATTTCCCGAAGTTACAATCTTTCTCGTTAACCAGCTCCAGAAATTAAAGGGGGAAGGGGAAAGAAGAAAAGCACTGTATTCATTGTTGATGGCTTTTGTTGTGCTATAGTTCAGAATAATGAGCGAATAACATCGTCTCCGAAAAAGAACTGCAGAACTCCCTTTTCCGTTTATTCAACTTCGCTATTGCTTACATTACTATACAAGTATACAACCACTAAATTCGCAATTTTCGGAAATCAAATCACGGAATTAGACTGACAGATATTTGAATACTCTGATTAATTCATAATTTTGATATAATGTTATATCATCATACACGGGAAAATATTCGATTTTTGTCTCCCTCCGCTACGCGTAGAAGCAACAACAACAATAACCTGGAGCTAGAATCTACAACTTTTTTCCTTGTATAATGAATAAAAAATTTTACGCCGGCGAAAGGAGAAGTTAGTTTTTCCGGTAGGAAAAAAGGGACAGAAGTGGTGTATTATTCCTTAGGGAGATGTGACATATTTTCTCCATAGAGAGTTTATACCAATATTGAAATTTCCGTATAGATCTGCGCTTTCATTCTCCGAAATGATTATAAGCTGCATCATACAGATTTCTGGATTTTATTTGTATATAGCAAGTTGAGAATCACTGCAGAAGCAGTAACAACAATTTCTTGACGTTCTTTCTCTAACCGTTAACAATTTTTGGGTTATCAACAAGACTACTACAAATTATGTCAAAACACTTCGACCGTATTTGTATTCTTTCTCAATTTTTGTGTTTTCACCAGCGTAAAAAATAGTGTATACACCTCAGGACAGACTGCTATGTTTTTCTCTCGGGAAAGATCTTGCATTTCTGTCTTTTGATTTATAATACAGGGTGTCTCCGAAAGGTCTGTTCAAAATCTCAGCACATATTCCTGATGTGAATACTGCACAAACGATAAGATTTCCACAAAATTCACAAATACATGACATTTTTCGCTAACACAGTAGCTTCGTCAAGTGATATACTGGTACAGTTCATTGTAGTGTCATTATATAGAGTATATATAATAAGAATATATTGAAATCAATGTTAGTTCAATTCATTGTACAGGGTGATTCACCATTAATTTTCCCCCCCTCTAGCTCACTTATTTTTGAACCGTTTCAAAAATTTGAAACATAATCTGAAATGATTTTTCAGAAAATTTTTTCCCGTTGCATCAGAAAATACAGGGTGCTCGGGACAAACGATCTACAGAGTACTAATTGATTTTTTTAAATGGAACACCCTGTATTTAATTGTATTTTTAGATTCTTCCTGAGGAGCTGATTTCATCAATGTATCACACTTGGGGTTTAGCGGGAATGATTACAGAGATATAGGGTGTTTAAAATCCAACTTTAGGATTTTTTTGTGCCGAAACTATTCATTATTGGTCAAAACGGCTCCTATGTTCCCATCTCAACTTTTGATTTACTATCTAGTGAAATTTAATTGGAACATTTACAGGGTGGTTCAAGATTCAGAATTCTGGTCACCCTGTATCTGTTCCAATTATTAAATGTCAGTAGATAGTAAATCAAAAGTTAAGATACGGACATGAAAACCACGTGACCGATAATGAATAGTTTCGTCACAAAAAAATTCAAAAGTTAAAAATCTCGATTTTGAACACCCTATATCTCTGTAATCAGTCCCGCTAGACCCGAAGTGTGATACATTGATCAAATCAGCTCTTTAGGGAGAATCTAAAAATACAATGAAAAATAGGGTGTTTCATTTAAAAAAATCAAATAGTACCCTGTAGATCGTTTGTTTCGAGCACCCTGTATTTTCTGATCTAGCGGAATAAAACTTTATCAAAAATCATTCAAGATGATATTTCAAATTTTAAAATCGGTTCAAAACAAAAATAACTGAGCTAGAGGGGGGACATTTATGGTGAATCACCCTGTACGAATATTCCACCGAAAGAAGCTACTGTTTTTGCGGAACGTCTTGTTGTTCCAGAAAATTATGTGAAAATCTCATTGTTTGTGAAGTTTTTCACATCAATTTCTTTGTATCCGTATTTCTTTTGGCTTTCGCATAGCCACCGAGATGGCAGCAATATTGTAAAGCGGAAAAGGAATGGAATTACTCACTCCAAATTGTTCACGAAATTCATGAAAGTTTTCCGAAGTCGGGACAGGAAATCTGAACCTGAATTTCAGATAGAGCTCTGGTCTCATTTTCGCATAATCTGAAAAAAGCCGGAACAATGGCGGGCTAAGCAAAAAAACTGGGAATAAATTTCCTCGCGTTCTTAATTAATAGTCCTCGACATCCACTACGCTATGCTATGCCATTGATTAAGTGATTAATTAATTCTTCGAAGGTTCTCCCTCATCTCGCCAGACTTTTTGAGGAGATACATAATTCAACGGTGATGCTGATCCTCAAGATGAATCGCGAAAGTCTTTTATCGCTCACTATCCACTAAATCAATCTGTCAGATCTGTTTACACTTAGCCAGATTGATTTCCGTATGCAGTACAACAAGTATATTGATGAAAATACGAATCCCTTCGATTTCGAGAAACAAATTATGTTATGCCCAAATGCCCGAAGGATGAGAATTACCTGTGGATAGATTCGATAGACCTTCATTTTTGGAGAAAAGACACAATATCTACATTAAAATACGGTGGTTTTGTTGATCATTAGGTGAAATGATAGAATTTTTGAGTTTGTTGATATTAGAAGAAAACATTTCACTTAACGATGAATTAAACCTCAATAGCCACCACTGTTGAATTTGTTCCCTCAGTAGGCAATAATATGTATTTGCTATCAACCTTTTCAAGTTAATTCGTTACAACGTATTTCAATGTAGATATTGTGCCTATTCACCTGATGGAGCTACTGTGATAGCGAAACTTGTCGTGTGATCCGAAATTTTGTGCAAATCTTATCGTTTGTGGAGTTTTCACATCTAACAGTTTCGTTCTATTATCCTGATCAGGATCTTCAGGATGGGCAATTTTTTCTCGAATGAAATGGTGAATGACATTCCAAAATCGAAATTTCAATTGCTCGTTTTTATTCCTTCGACTATTACCAGAGACACGGAATTGTCTTGCATCAAGTACTCGTATGGATAGTTACATCCAGAGAGACGAGTGATTTCTTGGCACACCCATCAAGGACCGATGGTGATAGCATAATTTGATAGTTTTGTTTCATTATCCTGACCAGGATCTCCAGGATGAGCGATTTTTTTATATCCCGAGATACGACAGTCTCTTGCAGTAAGTACTTCTATAGATAGTTTCATCCAGACAGATGGTTGTGTCTTGTACCAAGTACTCGTATTAAGTTTCCGCAGAGGTAGGTTGACAACAGGCGTGCAAATGATCCACTCGCACTGTGCGGCAGTAGTTAAAAAAATAGAAAATAAATATAAGTTGGAAAAATAAAAAAAAAACACTCTTTCATAGATAGCCAGTAAAGACGCTGATATTTTCTATGTTGTGTATTCATTTGAATCTATTCTTATGTAAAACATATTGTTTTCACGCTTTTTTGAAAACTATCTCATACTTTTTTGGCTCGACTGTATAAAAGCGTGATTTTTTAGTTTAATTATTTCATACAAACGCGCAAAATACTCACATTTACTGCGGGGCGGAAGTTATAAAAAATTGAACAAAAAATCAACAAGACCCTTTTATCGTCAGTCAGACTGAAACATAGGAAATAGATGGTAGTTTCAAAGTGTAGTTTGGAGAAAATGGTAGATAGTTATTAAGTTCACTAAAATAGTGATTACGGCGGAGCGTATATTTTCCATTCTGTGTATCTATTTTACTCTATTCGTATTTGAATATCTTGTCACCACGCTTTTTGGAAACCTATTTTCTACTCTTCAATTTGGCTGTCTATGAAAGCGTGATGTTTTTCTTAGTTTTATTCAACTACTATTCATTTTTGCTCTCAAAATCTCACATTACCAATAAACATACTTAAGAATCTTAGTGATCAGTAGCATGGTCTTTTAATGAATGATTTTTTGAACATTTATATTTTTGTAATATTATATGTGTAGAACTTACCTGTATGATTCTGAGTATTAATGTTGTGTTCTGGAAGTCGTATTCCAATGAAAAATGAATTTGTCCCACATCTTCTGTAGGTTCGGAATTGTCAATGTACATATCCACCAGGGATATTGAGCGATTCTGAAGAAATGCCATCTGCAAAGAATAAAGAAAAACATCGTAGCGGATTGAATATTTATGGAAATGGATGCATTGCGTTCCGAAATTGTAAGTCTTGAATGCATATCATTATGTCGAATAATGCATTTATACAAAATTATGAATACTATTTTGAATGTTGAATTTTGTTAATGAAAATGTATTCAGGTGAAAGAGAATGGAGTGCAACTCTCGTGGGAAAAATTACTTCAGACTAAGGGCAGATGATTTCCATTTTCATAATGTAATCAACCGGTAATTTCTAGCGTAGGAATACGGATGAAGTGTAATTGTGTTATGCATTCAATTTAAAACTCATTTTTGTTACGGTGGACTTCAAAGAGGATGTTGAAAGGTCCAATATGCGTCGACCGAATTGAAAAGTAGTATGAGTAATTCGATTTGTGCGTATAGACGAATTTCAATGATTGGTTTCATGTATATCTAGCAGAATTAGTTGGTATTTCCACAAAATTCTTATTACGAGCATGAGAATTTCAGAAGGTACAGATTCGTAATAAGCTGTGCAATGTGACCGAATTTTTCTGAATTGGATAATTATTTGAATGGACTTTTTAAAAGTATTTCCTTAATTTTCATACAATCTATCTAACTTCACGATCAAGAGCTTGAAATTTATCGAAAGAACTGTATACAAATATTTCCGATTTCAGCTTTCTATGGAGATCCCAAAAATTGAAAAATACATAGGGTATTCCATATGAAAAAAATTGTCGTGGACGTCATTACTCAAACATGGATCACCTTGTATATTCAATTTTTCTATTCAAAAGTGATATTTCACTCGATAGCTATATCGGATATTATTGGTCTTACAGAAACGTTAAAATGATAAAAAATGAAGTATTTTTATGGGTATTCAGAATCTATTACCAGGAAATGCAGAAAAGCATCGGGAACCTAAAAATATATTATATTAGCTGGTATTTTCCAATACCCTGTATTTCATTTTCACAATCGATAGAGCTCTTTCTTCCGATTTTGAATAAATATATATTTTATTAAGGTTATCTTTGGTTAGTTTTTGAAAAATATAGTTTTTTTTCGTATGTGTAGATCCAAGGCAGGTAGGAAGCCAGACGACAATGCTGCGATTTCTGGCGTTCTACAGCTACTGCCCAGAATCCATATTTTTCGAAAACTGACAAGGATAACCTTAATAAAAAATAAATATTCGAAATCAGGAGACTATCGATTAGGAGGATGAAATAAAGGGGGTTAAAACATTTCCAGTTTATGTAAAATTTTCAGGTTCACGATGTTTTTTTGCATTTTCTAGTGAGAGATTGTGAATGCCCATTGAAAATTCCAAGTTTTTGCCCAATCGAACGTTTCTGTAAAGCCAATATAAACTAAGAAAGCTGATGAGTGAAATATAAACAATCACTCTCTACATACATACATTTATTATCTAAGTATCAATGAAAGGTGGATAGATATCCACCTTGTATCAATGTATACAGCAAAACGAAATCCTACTACACATTCATGATATCTGACAAGTTTACAAACATTGAACATCCATTAGTAACATTTATTAGTTGCAACAATCAACAAGGACATATAAAAATATCGTTCCAAAGTGGTCCAACTAAACTGTGCAACAGTAATTTCGTCGCACCCCGAAATTTTGTCCCTGTTGAAATATGGATAACTTTTTTCTGCTGTGACCAATTTGCATTCAGATCACACTATTCGCTAGCCCAGTCCTTCAGCAATGATCTAGTTTCAAAACATAAGGTTCGTTATATAAACTCGCTACACAGGGTGTCACCTGAAACTGTGAAGAATTTTGAAATTTTAAAAGGATCCCAAATGAACAAAACTTTTTTTTTCAACTTTGACAGCAGATACATGAAGATGGGATATTTTCCGAATTTTCCTATCATCTCTTTCACCCACAGAGTAATCTCAAAAAATCAAATCTCAGGTTTTGCAGTCATAACTCGTTTCCTCGTCACACGATTTTCAAAATCTCTGGCTTATTTCGAAGCTGAAGCTTCATATGAAGAGATATGAAGATCAGAATTGACTCAAGATAAACATTACACACACTTCTAATGGAAGCATTCCTGTATCTTTCCTAATTGTTGAATTATGATCGTGACATTTGCAGGAGTGGTATATACATACTGACAATACACACTATGACCAAGTGGAGTCATCTTCACTGATATACACTGCTTGCTAACAGGTATGGAACCACCCACAGAATTGAAATGAGGAGTGAAGATAGGTTGGAAATCACTTCGGATTCGAAATAAGGACGTCCAATTCAATAACTTTCTATAATCTTCCAGAAAATATTGTCAGTTCTGAAAAACTAAATTGTGTCTGACTTTTTATGGTAGCACCCTCGTATCTTACATAATTGACTTTGGACTTTCCCTTTCTCTTAGAAATTTCAGAACCCACCTCAATAATGACAAAAGATACGGAGATGCCTCCATGAATAGTGAGAGAGGATTCAATTTTTCAGATCTTGGAATTTTTCAAAAAAAATATAAAGAGTTTGTGAATTGGACGTCCTGATTTCGAATTCCAAGTGATTTTCAACCTATACCTTGCCTCCTAATTTCATTTTTGTGGGTGGTTCCATGGCTGTTCGCGAGCAGTGTATATTACTGAAGATAATTCCACTTATTCATATTCTCAGTATATCTATCGCTCCTGCGAATTTCAGAATTCTTACTCAACAATTACGAAAGACACAGGGTTGCTTCCATCAGAAGTGAGACAAGCTGTGAAATTCTCATCTTGAGCCAATTCTAATCTTTGTTTCTTTTTATCTAAAGTTTCGACTTCAAAATGACCTTGAGATTATAGTAATCGAATAACAAGGAATAAAGTTATGACTGCAAAACCAGAAAGTAATTTTTTTTATATTACTTTGTAAATCAAAGTAATGAGATCATCTTCATGCTTCTGCTGTCAAAGTTGAAAATAAAAAGTTTTTGTTCATTTGGGATCTTTCTGATGATTCCGAAATTTTTCACAGTTTCAGGTCACACCCTGTAGCGATTTCATATGGAGAACCTGAAGTTTTGAAGAAGTACGAGATTATAGTGGAGGACGTGGCTAGCAAACAGTGTGATCCGAATTCAAATTGTTCAAAGCAGAAAGAAGTTATTCATATTCTAACTGGGGAAAAATTTTGGGTTGAGACGAAATAAGTGATGCGTTATTTATTAATAGTGAGAAAAAGGGCACAAGAACACAACATTCATAACAAGTTTCCACTTACCAACTTCAAATCGAGCATTAAACACATTCGAATAAAAGATAATTTTTATGAATACTACTGAAGATAGCATGAGGACATAATATAGGTTTGAAATACTACAGCTCTATTGAAAATTGCACTTATCTGAAAAAAGAAAGTCGAAGATGTAGTGATATATTTTGTAAGAGATTGAACTTTGAAGTGCAATTTTAAGGAACTGTGGTGTTGAATGAACAATTATCGAAAACACTGTATATTTCGAAATTGATGAATTTATTCAACACTTCAATGATGAATAAGTGATACTGATGAAATTGTTAATATTGATTTTGGTTTATCCAGATTATATCCCGAAATTGGATTAAATGAACCACATATTGCATACATAACCGACTGATGATAATAATTATTGGCAGATACGTGATATCCCTCTGATGAATGGAATTTTGTAGCCTTCGACGAAATAGAATGACGATCTGCAAATACATTCAGGATCATTGTATAGTTCCCATAAAAATGATATGTGTGGAAAGTTTTAACTCAATTGTTGGTTTGTCTTGAATCTTCTCTTATCTTTGCTAATGTCAGTTAACATTCTTTAGTGACAAGTCGACACAAAGGAATGCAATTACAGGGTAATTTTATTAGTGAGAAATTTACATTCAAGATCTTATTAGTGACATTTTTAACGCAGTTACATTTTGAAACGAATCATCTGATTTTTTCTTACTACTAGTATTCTCAAAGGTGAGGCATTATTTTTGAAAGAATGTAGAATCATTCGAACTTATCAGAATAGACAAAATCACCAAAACTTGCCCATATAAAAGTTATTGACTCGGCCGTTACTTCAGTGAATTCTATAATCTACATCCACTTGAAAAAGATGTATTGGGAGGATTGTCCCACTGCATTCCTCAACACAACAATAATCATTCGATCTAAACAGACATATACAGATTGACCCATTTGGAAGCCCTCATACAATTTTCATTTCATGGAGCGATTTTGAAGAATTATTTTCTCGGAATGTAGAGGAAGGAAAGGTGTATTTTGGAGCAGAGTGGCATACTAGATCAGATTCAGGGGCTGAAAAATCCAGAATCCATATTACCGACTTTTTGAGAAGAAATCCCAGCATACCACTGGAATGGGCGTCCTCTGAAATGGATCTGGACCAAGTTTTATATGAAAATATTCGACATTAACGAATCTTCAACGTGTCTCCTATATACCCCCCTATGTCAACGATTAGACTAGATCTTCACCAAAAAGAATGGCCATCAATATGATCAGTTTTTCAGAGACGAACATTCTGTTCTACAGTGCCTTCCTTTTTTGTTGAAATGAAAGGGGGTCGATTATTATGGAATCATATTAGGATTTTTTTTGAAAGAACACTACTTTCTTATCATTGTTCCTCATGCTTTCTTCCATTTTTTGAGTTATTTTGGAAAGTATTGAGTGAAATATAAATTCAAAATGGTGATGATGTGGCCAAAAGATTCATTATACCGAATAAGGATAATAAACTTTGATAAATATGAATGAAAAAATAATATTTCGGATTATTGGAAAATACTATATTCAATTTGTCCGAAAAATGGTCAGGTAATATTATGAAATACTTAAAGCTACTATATCTGATGTCTACTAACGAAAAAATCGAAAATGTTATCGTTCTCAGCATCGGCACACAGTTCGTGTGCCCAAACCTTGCATCTAAGGCTTTGTATCCACTATTCATATCACTCCTTTTTTTTCATCTTCCTGATTCATCTTCTTACGTTGTGGAATTTTGGTTCAAATCTTTTTTCATTTTGCCAACTTTTCAATGTATTTAATAATTGAATCGGGTATTATGGATAACTATTCGATAATTGCCGCCTATATGACTTAGCAACTTGAATATAGTTCAAAAACTAGGAATTATCTAAAATAAGCGCATTGGACCTTCCATACATCATACATCTACTCAACCTTTCAATGATATGAAATAAAATCACTTCCCAATGTGTTTGAAATATAAAGTTGATAAACTCACCTGGAAATTTCGTAAGCACCGAAAAAACATGAACTATTAGAACTGTTAGGAACGATAGATACCTATAGAAACCGGATAATTATAATCCATAATCACTGACTGTACAATTTCAGGCAGAATCCTAATTCGATTCCATGAAAACTTGACCCCTTCCATTTTGATGAAAACGCACGGCATTGTTCAGAAGGATGCTTGTTTATGAAAAACTGATCCTATTGATCGTCATTCATACCAGTCCCAATTCGGTGAAGATAATATGATTGTGAGATATGGAGGGGGGTCTTTTAAAATGAGACACATTAATGCTGAATATTTTTTCATGAAACTTTTCAGCCTCTCAATGTGAACTAGTAGGCCTTGGTTTTTCAAAACAAATGAAGGCCGCTTTGCTCCACAATACACCTTTTCTCTCTCTATATTGAAAAAAATCGCGAAAATCGCTCCATAAATAAAAAAAATTATGAAGGTGAACCGCTTTCAACAAGGTCCTTCTGTAAAAACGACATAAAGAAAGAAGGTCATGCTTACATCCTGGCTTACCGATGGATGGTCCCCCCCGCCTCCTTTGACATTGTGCAGGGCCTTGTTGGGGGCAGTGGGCGTGCGAGCCTCGGGGGGCAGCATCGACCCCCCGCCCCCTCCTTGGCTGCTGCCGCCCGCTGGGGATTTCGCCTGCGGGCTGCCTGTCGTCCTGCAACAATTTTCAAGTTGGATATGTTAACGGAAATAATATTCCAATAAATACGATTAAGCTCAAAGTCCTATCCACACAATGTTTATAATATGAACAACAATGGTAGATTTCGGGTGAAAAACAACTACAGTTCTCAACACACTAAATGGACCACTCATAATTTGACTCTATTTCGAAGACCTGTATTTTTTGAAAAAAATTACCAATCTTCATGCGGTTTTCGATATCAGATCCGATGTTTTATCGGCTTCAAAGAGAGCTAGAACACTATGAAAAAGTCCACAGAACAAAACTCACACAGAGTGTAAAGTGGAACCATTACACTATGGTCTACATTTCCAATACTGCCAGAACTCGAGAAATTTTTTTCATATTATGATACACTGGGAACCGATTGTTTTTCGGAAGTCTTGCATTTCTTGAAGTTTTTCTCTGGAACTTCACTTGAGCTGACTATTGGGAAGAACTATTCTAATTTTTTGTGGAGGACAATGGAAGACGAAAAAAAGCACTTCATTGGAATATACAGGATGATAAGGAAATAGGACATAATCTCATTTCAGTAAAAAAATGGTGACTACAACTATGGCCCATTGGATTCAGTATATTCAGAAACGGCCTTCTCGATATCCATTATTTATATTAGACTAGTACCTCGAGAGATTTTCGAAAATTCGCCTCTAATTGAAATACAGGATGAAAATTTTCAATTAAAACTTGTTTCCTGATATCGATGATTTTCAATATTTATTGCCCAAGTATGAGACACAGAGTATTGTTGTTAAATATACTGAGTGTTTTACAACTTATCTGACAAATTTCAATCACAACTACGATATTACATAAGAAGTCTCTAATTTGATAGAAGTAAAACGAGATGGAAAATAAAATTTGTAACACTTTATATTCACTAGAACTATTCGAAAAAGGCTCTATTGGCAGAATATGACATTATAGTGAATTCTTCAGCATTATGAAGATCCAACTAGAAAGTCTTATAATATCCTAAATTTCAGTACTTGGTAGGCCTCCCCGATTCAACAAAAGGGCATGAAATCGGTTTGGCATAGATTATATGAGGTTGTTGATGAAGTCTATTGATATTGCCTCTCATTCTTCTCATACAGCTTGGATAAGGTTGTCATTATTTTGGGGTGCCTCGCCTTCTCGATCGGTTCAGTTTCATTCGGCTCCACACATGTTCAATCAAATTCAGATCTGGAGATAATGCTGGTCACCACATACTCTCTAGAGTTCGTAATTTGTCAGATAAGTTGTGAAACACTCAGTATATTGAACAACAATACTCTGTGTCTCCTACTTGGGCAATCAATATTGGAAATCAGTTGATAAAATGATAAGATCCATCGATATCAGGAAACAAGTTTGAATTGAAAATTTCCACCCAGTATTTATATTAGAGGCGAATTTGCGAAAACGTCTCGAGTTGATAGAAAATATTATTTGATTTTTCCTCGAGTTTTTAGGATATTCTCTATAGTGAGCAGAAATACCATTATAACTATTATGATTATTATCATCATCATCACGGAAGAAACCATCAAGTGGCTATTTCCATCGTGACCTATTTCTTGCGCACAATGAGTATTATGAAAATTCATAAATTCCTGAAGCATATAATCGTATAGCATAGTGCAAGGTACAAGATATGTAAATTCAACCCCGGCTATAGCAAGTTGAATCACTATTTTCATTCTGAAAGGCATGGGCAAGACTAGGAACTGCAAAGGACTTTGAGCTTTCTCTTTGATAAAGGCAATGGAGTTACACTAACGAATAAACTCAATAAACTCATTAATTCTCTGAAATGAACATTTCGAATAACTTTTTTAATCAGAAATTTTGAATTTATGCGACGGTTGATTGGCATTTCAATTCATTTATTCACTGAACACCTTGTTACATTGAAGTAATTCACAAGACCCATTTCACTACACACTCCTGTTGATCCAGAAATAATAAATTTAGCAAAGTACTTACTCTAATTGCGCTCTGCGAGTTGAAAGGCCATCAGCAGGACGTCACCATTGGTAGTCGACAAAGCAGCAGCATGAAAAGTAAAGGAAATTATATTAGAACAAGAAAATGACAAAGTAGGTAACGCTTTCAAGTTCATTTGCATTCAACTCTTTATAGTACACCACGTCATACCATAGGAATATTTTGTTCATTTTGATTTCAGGCGAGTACGAATCAGTAATTCATTTATTTATTTATTTAATGAAAATGGGATACAAACAGGCAGAAGCCCAAAACTGCATCCACTAGTTACGCAGAATACTCTGATGCTTACATTTTACAAAGTTAATATCACAATAATATTAAACATTCAGTACCTGAAAATAAAACAAAAATAAATTCCGAATTCAGATCAATCAGACGAATATATGGTTTCTAATGAGTGCCCTGAACTGATTCAATGATGTACAATGTATATCTACGTTGCTGCAGTATTTATTGAAATTATCACTCATTCTACTCATTGGCGAGTTCAGTCCCAAATTGGTATGACAAAAATTGACATTCAAAAATATTTTAAGTCTTGTGGGTCTAGACGGTACATGGAATGATATGAGCGATAACAACATAGAAGAACTAAAATGATTCCTCATTATTTTATAGATGAATAACAAATCAGACATAATTCTACGTTGCTCCAAGGTTATAAGTCCAAAAGAGCGTCTGGTTTGGTTAATACTTTCTACAACAAATGAATTGTTCACTCAAAAGTTCAGAAATCTCACAAAATTATTTTGAACTCTCTCCAATCGGACTTTGTGGTTGGTATAATAAGGACTCCAAATGACACTTGCAAAACATAATCGGCTATATACGTAGGCATAATATAATGTTTTGATTGAATTTTGAGACCGAAAATATTTACAAGTTCTTTTAATAAAACCTAACATTCTATTGCATTTGTTAGTAACATAATCAATATGCATTGCAAAACTCAATTTGGAATCGAAAATAACTCCAAGGTCCTTAATATAAGATACTTTTTCCAAATGGGTACCATTCAGATTATAATCAAAAGTTCAAAAATGATCTATTCTTTTTATAATACACATCTAACCTATCGAGATCGTTCTGGAGTTTCATACAATCGTCCAACGACATAATTCTTGTGAAAAGTTTCAGGTCATCAGCATACAACAAAAATTTAGAATCATGGAAGCATTGATTGATGTCATTAATGAAAATAATGAATAATAAAGGTCCAAGATTTGACCCTTGGGGCACCCCCGAGGTAACTATAATTGGGTAAGAGTTAAATCCATTGATGCTAATGATGTAGTAGTAATGGAATACTACTAAAATTATATTCCGTGCAATTGAAATGAGAGTACTGTATACATATAGAATGAAGTAATTGTATCTTCAATTCATAAGAAACCTTTTAGAAACCTTTTTACATTCAAGCATAATATTGATGTTGATTTAGGATTCTGAAATTCGTAGGAGCAGTAGATATACCTGATATACACACTATGACCGAGTGAGGTCATCTTCAGGGATATACACTGCTCACCAACAGCCATAAATCCACCCACATTTCTGGAAAATCATTTAAGGGGACAAGATAGGCTGAATATCACTTCGGATTCATAATTTTCTGGTGAAATTTCATTATAGGAAAATTAAATTTTATCTCACATTTCATGGAAGCACCTCCATATCTCATGTCGTTGACTGTATCTTTGGACTCTTTCTTTCTCCTGTAAATTTCAGAATTCTACCTCAATAATTACGGAAGATACAGGGGTGCATCTATAAGAAGTAGTCAACGTCGCATCGGAGTGGGCTGTGATATTTTTCATATGATCAATTCAAAAGTTGATGTGAACAAGTTCAGGGACGGATCTAGGATTTTTCTGAGGGGAAAGCGATCCGGAATTCATTTGAGTGTATTTCAAGGGTGGGGGGGGGGGCAAGGAACCCAACAATTTGAGGGTTCAAGGTTAAATACCTTATAATTGAGAATCATTTTTTTACCTGATTGACAATCAATTACAAAATTATGTTTTATATTATCACTTCCATGTTCTGACCTGATCTCTCTCAAAATGAAAACTATATCAAAAGCTAGCAAGAAGTATTTTATATAGTGTCTGGAATACGTGGAAATATTGAACACGTCAATATGTCACGAATATTCACAAAATAATGAAAAATATGTCATCTTGACGGTCGAGCAAAAAATTGGAATGATGAAATCGGCTCTGGAATAACGGAGCTGATGTCAGAGTTGCTGCAGGGTAAAACTCTGAGCTTCGCCATATTTATTGGTTATAAAAGAGGAGAAAACTTTTTGAAACTTTCAAATTTCCTCATCCTAATTCTTTACAAGCCGTAATTTGAAACGATGTTCAATTAAAAACGAATTGACCTTATAGAAACTTCATCTTTTGTTACATGCATATAGCAAAAACTTCCAGAGAACTCATTTTATCACATCCATTCATTATTGTTCGGAAATTGTTGATGGTCCTTGATGATTTTTGTATGTAAACTCAATCAGAGAGAGAACAAATGTTCGTTAATTCTCCGAATACAACCAGACGGTTTTAACGATGAAGACATATAAGTTTAATGAACCAAAGAATCAATCACTTGGCTGTTTGATTGAAAACGATGAGTTCAGTGAATCGGTCCCTTTGGTGTTGTTATCCAGAGGGCTGTGAACAAAAACGCCCCTGGGAACGCAGAAGAGAGGTCGAAAGTATCCCCGAGTAAAACAATGAGAGAAAAACCTGGTTGAACACAGTTTAACTATCTGGCAATTACATAGATCGAAAATTCACTGCTTACCACAAAAAATAATAACATTTTTCACCACTAACTAGCTATAGATCCCACCATTATGTATGTCAAGGCGTGAATTATGTTTTCTCTACCAAGATAGCTTCCGCCATTTTATGAACTACTCGCTACCTCTGTTGTTATAATTAATTACCTGAATTAATAACTATTCG